TCTGGGCTGACTGATGGGGGCATCTGGAGGGTCCTGCCATCAAGAGCTGAGATCTGTTGGGTGGGAAATGACTTAGAATCCGATCTCTGATTTCCTTCCAGGGACCCTTCCCAAGCCCACTCTCCTGGCTAAGCCAGGGTCTATGATCAGCGAGGGGAGTCCCGTGACCCTCAGGTGTCAGGGGAGGCTTCAGGTTCAGGAGTATCGTCTATATAGAGAAAAAAACCCAGCATCCTGGGTTAGACGGATACAACGAGAGCTTGTCAAGAAGGGCTATTTCCCCATTGCATCCATCACCTCGGAACATGCAGGGCGGTATCGCTGTCGGTATTACAGCCGCAATCACTCATCAGAGCTCAGCGACCCCCTGGAGCTGGTGGTGACAGGTGAGAGGACACTCAGGGGTCCCAGCCCCAGGCTCTGCCCTCAGGAAGGGGGTCGGCTCTCAGGGGCGTCTCCCTCTCACAGCCCAGCCCTGGGGATGATGCAGGAGGTGGGAGCCCATTTAACACGGTGCCTCCTTCTCTCCCAGGAGCCTACAGCAAACCCACCCTCTCAGCCCTGCCCAGCCCTGTGGTGGCCTCAGGAGGAAACGTGTCCCTCCAGTGTGTCTCACAGGTGGCATTTGATGGCTTCATTCTCTGTAAGGAAGGAGAAGATGAACACCCACAACGTCTCAACTCCCACTTCCATGCCCGTGGCTGGTCCTGGGCCGTCTTCTCCGTGGTCCCAGTGAGCCCGAGTCGCAGGTGGTCGTACCGGTGCTATGGTTATCACTCACGCTCTACCTATGTGTGGTCTTTACCCAGTGATCTCCTGGAGCTCCTGGTCCCAGGTGAGAAATTCACAGCATTGCCTGGAGTTCCCTGAGTCTCCGGGCAGGTGGGGAGGAGCCGCGTCTCAGGGCAGCGCCAGGTGGGATGATGTTGGGACGAGAGGGCTCAGGGCTCCTGGGGCCAGAGACACAGGAAGATCAGCAGTGGTGAGGCCCGGGGGGAGAGGGAGGGTTTGTGGGGAAGCCTGAGGGTCACTCCTGGAAACCGTGACCACCTTTTCCCAGGTGTTTCTAAGAAGCCGTCACTCTCAGTGCAGCCGGGTCCTGTTATGACCCCTGCGGAAAACCTGACCCTCCAGTGTGGCTCTGATGCCGGCTATGACAGATTCGTTCTATACAAGGAGGGAGAACGTGACTTCCTCCAGCGCCCTGGCCGGCAGCCCCAGGCTGGGCTCTCCCAGGCCAACTTCCCCCTGGGCCCTGTGAGCCACTCCCACGGGGGCCGTTACAGATGCTCCGGTGCACACAACCTCTCCTCCGAGTGGTCGGCCCCCAGTGACCCCCTGGACATCCTGATCGCAGGTGAGGAGCCCTGTGGGTTCAGTCAGGGACCCAGGCTCTGCTCAGGCCCTGCCGGGGGAGCCCAGGAGGTGATGGCCGGGATGAGGGGTGGGGGTCCCAAGGGAGAGAGAGACAGACAGAGACAGGGGATGGGCAGGGAGGGGAGACTCAGAAAAAACAGACAGAGAGACTGAGTGTCCTAGAGAGAGGCCTGGGGAGGTATCAGCTCAGAGCAAGTTGGGGCAGCCCCTCACCCATCCTTCTTCTCTCCAGGACAGATCCCCGACAGACCCTTCCTCTCAGTGCATCCGGGCCCCACAGTGGCCTCAGGAGAGAACGTGACCCTGCTGTGTCAGTCACAGGGATGGATGCACACTTTCCTTCTGACCATGGAGGGAGCAGCTGATCCCCCTCTGCGTCTAAAATCAAAGTGCCAATCTCATAAGTACCAGGCTGAATTCCCCATGGGTCCTGTGACCTCAGCCCACGCGGGGACCTACAGGTGCTATGGCTCACGCAGCTCCAACCCCCACCTGCTGACTCACCCCAGTGACCCCCTGGAGCTCGTGGTCTCAGGTGAGACCCTGACCCTGTCCTCTCTAAGCTCAAAGGCTCAGCAAAGGCCCTGCTCCCAGCAGAGCTCTGGGCACTAAGAAAAGAGGGGAGTTGGCTTGTAATCCCAGCACTTTGGGAGGCCGAGGCGGGTGGATCACGAGGTCAGGAAATCGAGACCATCCTGGCGAACATAGTGAAACCCCGTCTCCACTGAAAAATAGAAAAACTTAGCCGGGCGTGGTGGCGGGCGCCTTTAGTCCCAGGTACTCGGGAGGCCGAGGCAGGAGAATGGCGTGAACCTGGGAGACGGAGCTTGCAGTGAGC